GCTGACCGTAAAGCTGCCGCAGATCTTCAGGGTCCACCAGGTGCCGCGGGTACGTGTGGACGTCGGCCCCCACCCCGCTCCCGCCTTCCTGTCCCCATCCGAGGTGGGAAAGCCCGTGGGGTCCCCACCCCGGTCGCCCCCAGCCCTGCTCCAGCTCCCAGCCCGTCCTGCCGCGGTTTCCTCCCCACCCCATGACGAAGCCGAGGTGGCTCTCCAGGGCTGTCCCCGCATCCCCACAACCGGCCCCGCTCTCCCTCCAGATCTTCTGGGAGGATGGGATCATGTCGGGGTACCGGCACCCCAAGAGCTCGGCCCTTGACTGCGTCCTCAGCTCCTTCCAGATGACCAACGAGACCATCAACATCTGGACCCACTTCCTGCCCACTTGGTAGGCCCAGGGACGGGGCCCGGGACAGGGACAGGGATGGGGTGGGGACAGGGTAGGGATGGGGATGGGGACAGAGCCAGGGATGAGGTTGGGGATGAGGAGATGGTGATAAAGATGGGACAGAGATGAGGATGGGACAAGGATGGGGATGGGGATGGGCACAGGGATAGAGGTCAGTTTAGGGATGGAGATGGGTATGGGGAGGAAGATGGTGATGAAGAGAAGATGGCGAAAGGAATGGGATGAGGCTGAAGATGGGGATGGGGAGGGGGATGAGGATGAGGAAGGGATGGGGATGGGCACAGGGATAGAGTTCAGTATAGGGATGGAGAAGGGGTTGGGATGAGGTGGGGCTGGAGATGGGGATGGGACACAGATGGGGATGAGGAGGGAACAGAAACGGTGATGGGGACAGGGATGGGATGGAGATGGGGTGGGGATGAGGTGGGGCTGGAGATGGGGATGGGACACAGATGGGGATGAGGAGGGAACGGAGATGGTGATGGGGACAGGGATGGGCTGGAGATGGGGATGAGGTGGTAATGCAGATGGGGATGGAGATGGGATGGAGATGAGGTGGTAATGCAGATGGGGATGGAGATGGGATGGAGATGAGGTGGTAATGCAGATGGGGATGGAGATGGGATGGGGATGAGGTGGGGCTGGAGATGGGGATGGGACACAGATGGGGATGAGGAGGGAACGGAGATGGTGATGGGGACAGGGATGGGCTGGAGATGGGGATGAGGTGGTAATGCAGATGGGGATGGAGACAGAGCTGGAGACGGAGGCAGCGACGAGGTTGGGGATGGGTCTGGGCAGCGTGGGCTCACCCTGAGGCTTGCTGCGCCCGCAGGTATTTCGTGTGGCGCTTGCTGGTGCTCTCGTCCTCCCTGGACTTCTGCCGCGAGCCCTACCACTGGCCCCTGCTCATCTACCTGCTGCTGGTGTGCCTGTACCCCTTCGCCTCCAGCTGCGCCCACACCTTCAGCACCATGTCGGCCCGCGCCCGCCACTTCTGCTACT